AACCCTCAGATTTGTACCCAATCACTGGATTTGAAAGCAAATACAATAAGTTTACATTTGAAAGTTATTAGTGCATTTTAGAATCACAACTGACAATGTATCAGGATATCAGTAGCTTAACAGAAAAGTGTATTACTTTTGACCCATTTAGACTTTTTTGTCACTCTTTTGCCAGCTAGATAACAGCACCTAGCCCAGTGATGGCAAACCTTTTCGGCACCGAGTGTTGAAAAGGCTGCACGGAAATGTTGTTTGTGTATGCACACGCTCATTGGGGCCACGCTCCGGAAAAGCCAAACTTCCGGGTTCTAGTGCGCATGCGTGCCCGATGATCAGCTGGCCAATGCGCATGCGCACACCAGTTTTTGGCCCTGCCGCACACGCAAAGGATAGCTGATCATCATGTGTGCATGCATGCCAGAAACCCAGAACACAAACAGGAAAGACCGTGCGTGCCAGGCGACATGGTTTCATGTGCCACTTTGGGCACGCATGCCATAGGTTCGCCATCACAGGACCTAACCAAATCTGCTTAATCTTAAAAGCTTAAAAAGTTCAGATTTGATCAGAACCTGGATGGGAGGTAACCATAAAATCCATATGCTAGAGTGAAAAAGAGTAAACAGCAACAACATCATCCCAGAAGAAAAAGGCAGTAGCAAACTATTTCCAGATTGCCAAGAGAACAATACAAACGTGACCATGAGGTCATGAGCTGTCAAGCTTGACTAAAAGCAGACTTATCTACCTTTTAATGTCACCAGTACAGAATGATGCTGCAGAAAGAAGTAAGAATGAATATTGTACAGTAGGTCAGTTTATAAATAGTAATGGATTTATCTGTGGTTTCTTTTTAGATTGTATGAAGTTTTCACTTCTTATAAAATGGTAATGGATTTTGTATGGTTCTTCCAAAACCATCAATGAAATGGAGTAAGCAATATAAGTTTATTAATGAACAAACTAACTTTGACTGCTGATATAAATAATAAAATATTGGAAATTATCAAACTTTTGACCTGATTCATGTTCACTGGAGGAGGCCATAAATAAAAGGAAAAATGCTTTGGGTGGAGAGCTGCTAGTGCTACCAATCTAAAGGTTATTATGCATCTATTTGTTTGGTTCTTCCTCATTTCACATAATCCTTGGCTTATGACCATTTGTTTAACAACCATTCAAAGTTACAGCACTGAAAAAAGTGATTTTCAACCAGAGCGTGCACTTATAACTGTCAGAGAGCCCACACAGTCATGTGGTCACCACTTGTGACCTTCTCAATTGACTTCCAACAAGCAAAGTCAGTGGGGGAAACTGGATTCACTCAACAACCAAAGTGATTCAGTTAACAACTGTGGCAAAAAAAAGGTCATAAAATTGTATATGTAATTATGTGTAACAATATGTAACAATTGTATTCTGAAAAAAAGGAAATTTGACAAAACTTAAGAGACAATAGCTGAAACTAAGTTTGTACAAAAATAATAAGAAATTAAAAAAGTTATCAAAAATAACTTTTTGATTTCAATTAGATCTTTACAGTATACAAGTCTCAGTATATTTAATCAGCTTCTAATATGTTTTTCAGTAGCATGTTATTTTGTATTGAAGGCGAATCAATTTTCTTAAATTCTGCCAGACTCTGACATTAACAAATGTATAGATGAACTTCTTTATGTATTGTTGCAGCTAGGATTCAGAAACTTCAAAACTGCCCTAATAAGCTTAAATTTATAATTCCATTAAGCCATCGCTCATAACTTACAGTAAATTGTTGTTGCTGTTTTAAATCGAATGAAGTTTCTTTTTTAAATTTTTTTATTAAATTTTATTAATTAAAAAGTAAAACAAACATAAATACAAGGATACAATATACAAAACAAACAAACATCAATCAAGTCTTACGACTTGCTCTTAAAGTTGTCACATCGGTAGACTATTTTTCCCGTATTTATCTATATATCTATATATTTACATATTTACATGTGAAGCATTAATATACGTTCCATCTTTAAATTGTTATACTCCTTAATTGGTACTCAAAATTTTGTCTCAAAATTGACCTTATTCTTTAGTGTCCCTTCGAATGAAGTTTCAAAAATTCAGATGGAAAATAAAACTCCCACTTGGATGAACAAATTGGCTGTTTCAAACTGATCTGCGAAACAAAGACTGTTCTTGTTCATAAATACAAATACACTAAAGCGGTACTTCCAGCAGTTCACAAACATACTATATGGCTTGTCTGGTGTTGGTTTAGTCTTACATGAGCCAAGACAAATATTGTTTGTTCAACAAATCAAGGACAGTACCCCTTCTTCCAGCTGTTACAACCAAACTCTGTCCCAGAAGATTTTATTCTGTGCCTGGAGAGGAAGAGGGGCTGTCCAGCACGGAAGTAAATAGGACTAAACTGTTTATTCAGAGCAGAACAATAGATATAAATGTTAATCCTTTACATCCTCCTAATCTGGGAGGAATTTTATTCTGAGTCAATATGCATAAAGTTGGAGAAATGAATCATTTGTATTTAAAAAATAATTTCAAAGGAATTATTGTGTTATCTTAGCAACTCTAAACATAGCTATAGTCAACATATTATTTGTCATGTGGTTCTCATCCCTTATTATCAGTATTGAAATGTAAATATATTCCGATCATTTGCATTTAGTTGTTTTTATACAGTTTAAAGCAAGAATCATCGTGAAAGCAAGCAGCCCCTTCTTCAGATAAAGAAACCTTGATCATAATGCTACTTCTCCTTTAAAATACCGTATATTTAAATTAGCAGTGCTTGTTCAGACACCAACTTTCATTATCTAAATCCATAATGTAGCTAGAAAATAAGCACACATATAGCTTATTGTCCTATTACTTCCCAAACACGGGAGTAGAATTTCAAATATTTCAAACAAGAAGGCTTATTTTAGTGACTTAGAAACTACTCCAAAAATCTCTACTTCTCTTTAGCTCCTCCTCCTCCTCCTCCCTCCCCCCCCTCCTGTGTTTGGTGTATTTGAGATTTTAAAACTTTATTTCTTATTCTTGAACTTTATTAGCAACTCTGGAAAACATTTTAACTGATTATTGTGTATTTATTAATTAATTAATTAATTAATTAATTAATTAATTAATTATCTTCTAAGGAATAATTCATTGGTATTTTCTGTCCCTACCATCTTTCTGTGGATCATTCCAAAGCATTTGTCTGGGAAAGGAAAACAGGAAATGGCACTCACAACAAAATTATTTGTAAGTATTAATATTGTAGCTTAGCCTAAAAATGTTTGCACTGATGTTTATGCTTTGGCCAGTAAAGCTTCCCTATACCGTATCCCATTCTTTTTTGGGGAGAGGGAGGAACTGTCAGCAGGTCCCACCCCAACAATTACTTGTGATCTTCATGTGTAAAACCTATTTTCAGCAAATAGGTTTTCTCTGAAATGCCAGAAAAAACAAATTCTTGGTAGTTCTTCATTATGAACCTCTGCTAAGCTAGTCTCTGACTCAACAGACACAAAAATTCTTAAAATGGTCAAGTGTCCAAACACCACCTTAATTGAATCCATTCTCTTATGCTCTGTAACACACTGAGATCTGCAAATGGGAAATGTTTCCTCAAAATCAACACTTCATGGTTAACACAGCTTTCTTGGAAACGAAAGTCTTTTCTTAGAGAACTTCTATTTAGTAGATAGCCTGGGTGAATGCTGATTAAAATTTAAGAAGCTCACATCATAACTCCATATACCATTCTTTTTACCTAGGTAGAGTCTACATGACGTTGCTCTTGAAGATCATTTGGAAGCTGAACAGGTAGTCCTCACCTTATGAGCACAATTGAGCCCAAATTTCAGTTACTTAGCAAGACAGTTGTTAAATGAGTTTTGCCCCATTTTATGAGCCTTCTTGCCACAGTTGCTAAGTGAATCACTGCAACTGTTGAGTTAGCAATGCAGTTAAGGGAATCTGGCTTCCCCATTGACTTTGCTTGTCAGAAGGTTGCAAAAGGTGATCACATGACCTGGGGAGACTGCAACCATCATAAATATATGCCAGTTGCCAAGTGTCTGAATTTTTATCACGTGACCATGGGAATGTTACAATGGTTGTAAGTGTGAAAATAACAGGCACTTTTTAATATGTCTATATGCCATGGCTACTGAGTGAGTTGCTCTGGTTGCCAGTCAGCTTCTGGGTACAATTGAGGCTTTTGATCCTTATTTATAAAAAAACCTTTATGGCTTGGGCATCTCAGGTCAGCCTATCTCCAACTTTTTCTGCCCAACTGATACATTCCAGGAGAGTGTGTATGCTCCAGGTCCCTTCTATTAAATATGGTCATCTTACAGAACTAAGGAAGTGTGCCTTCTCTATTATAACTATTGCCTTCTGAAACAGCATTCCTCCAAAGAGTGAGGACTCCAAAGAGCGAGCACCCTCTCTCCTAGGACTTCCCAAAACTCTCAAGATCTGGCTTTGGTCTCAGGTCTGAGGTTGATGTCCTTGTGGGGGCTCTTGTTTGGTTTGGTTTCTTATTGTTTGATTGTTTTAGTCTAGGCTGCCTATGTGGTTGCATATTATTTATATTATTTTGTGTTGTATTTATAAGTTGTCCAAAAATCTATGGGAATGGACAGCTATAATTAATCAATTATAATGTACACATAATGCAGGATGCATGCATTAAAATGGATTCACAAATGTTGTATGGGTCTAATAATAGGGAAACTATAGAAGGTCATAATTTAGGTGCTGTAATATATAGTGTGTGTTTTTTGTATATTTTCAATTTAGGTTGTACAATAACCTGGAGAGAGATGGAAACAGACAGATAGGCTGACAGACAGACAGAGAGCAAATCTTACTATTAGAGCTACAGTAGCATATACTACCGTATATATTATTTATATTATTTATTTATTTTAACTTTATTTATTTATATTAACTTTTTCTTTGTAATACTTATTTATTTTGTCCTGAACAGAATCACAAAGATAGGTTATGCAGAAATTTATTGAACATTGAGCAAGCAAATGCTGAAGCCACACTATAAGTTTCTTGGCAAAAATTGGGAAAATCCAATAATAATTTACACTGCACCAAAAATTGTATTTTTCCAGAAACTCAAAGGCTTTTTTATTCACCAGATCCCAGGCCTTTATTCATATATTTATGTAAGAGGTGTCATTTAGCAAATAGAACTTAGGAAAGAAACAGAATCAGGGATAACATACAAAATCAAATCTCTTACAACAGGGACACTCTTTAATGTATTTTTCCTGTTTATTAAGTTTTGTCAAATTTTAAATTAATGCATTCCTTTAATACACTTGCTTTGAAATTGTTCTCTCTATTAAAGTTGTACTGGCCATTCTTATGCACTAATCTCCTTTCTGTTTCCTCTGTGTTTTTTGAACTAATCATGAGCCATCAAACAGAAATATTAGCAAAATATTATGACCCAATTAGCCAATTTCCCCTAACCTTGGTTGTTTTAGCTGCAGTAACAACCATAATTCTTAGCAATGGGTATGTTAGCTTCATATGCCTGGGAGTTAAAATCCACAGATCTAGGGATTTCTAGGTCAGAAAAAAACTACATTAGGGCTTGATAAATTTTTTACTTTTCACATTAATAAATTAAAAAGAAAAAAAACTAAAGAAAATAGATATTAACTATAATATAGTAGATTTTTCCTAAAAATTCAGCAAGAGTATTTTAGAAGGAAGGAAATTTCAGCAGATTTAAAATTCATTTGCAAGTTTTCAGGTTTCAACATGTGAAAGCACAAATGCTTCAATGTAACTGAAAGTTGTGCGTGTGTGTGTGCATCCCACTATCTGTCTATAAGCATGCACTTCACATCAAAATGTTAGGAATAACATTCATCCTGATGAATAGAACTTCAAAAGTAGGAGAAAACAGATTGAATCTAATTTTCTTTCCCTGAAAACACAATACCTTATATACACAGTCTGAGAGTGTTGCAGCAAATACAATGTCTTCATACTGTTACATGTTGCACTGCTAAGTAAAGGAAGGGATCTGCGCAAAGAGCATACTCCTAGATGAAAATCTGTTTCAACAAATCAGTGGTATTGATTGGATCTACATAACTGTATTGTCCTGGATTTAAAGTTAGAATCCCAAAATTCATTTCTTTGTCCCAGACAAGTTCAGGATGCAGACCTGAAGGAATCACACATAGGAACGCATTGCCATAGGCTTGATTTGGCTGCATGGTGCTGAATGCTCATATATTTCAGGTTCTTCAGGACAGCAGCAGAAACCACAAAACATGCCTCCTCCACAAATTAGAAATGCACCTGAGATCCAGCCTAAATAGAGAGCAGCTCCCAATTCACGTTTCCGAGCAGCTTGGATTTCTGGATTGTAAAAATTCTCGATGATATCGTTGGCAATACAGGAAACAGGAATCAGCACAAAGACCCCAGCCAGGAAAAAACTTGCTCCGGCTGTGAATAAAATGTTTCTTTTGACTTGTTCATTATTGCCTGGACTTCGGATGCATTTCATGCCAGCAAAAGCAGTCAGACAAGCAATAACTGACAGCGCACAAGCCGTGCACATTAATCCTCTAGCGGCGTCTAACAAAGGTGGAAGGGCCAGAATGGATTTGTAGAATTCGCACTGATAATTCTTGATGTGACTGACACATACCATCCACAAGCCTTCCCAAATAGTCTCAAAGACTATGATATTGTTTCCTGTAAAAGCTGATACTTTCCACTGAGGCATCAGAGTGACAATAACCGTTCCAAACATGCCAACAATCCCAAGCAGCCAAGCCATCATTTGTACCGCACAAAAAGCCATCTCAGAAAACTGTACCCAGAAAAGCAACAGACAGAATATTCTTTCTAAAGAAGATCTTCATTCCTCTGAAAAGTTGGCAATGTATTCATGACTTCCTCCTGGGTCGGATGAATTTAAGATCGTCTCCATCTATACCAGTGAAGAGTTCAGATCACATCTGCCTACTCGGAGGAAACTGCTATATATCTCTTCTAAGAGTCTACAAAAGCAAGACCTAATACCTGGGTAGCAAATCATATCCTTGGGAAGGGTGAGTCTAACTTATACCTGACGTTGATGCTTTTTTGAATTTCAATGTTTCTACAAGACTATAATTAAATGATTTGGTTCTAACTATAGTGCTGATAATTATTCTACAACAATAATGATTGCATCAGTGTCAAAATATAATGGGTAAAATGAACCTGGTGTTCTGTCTGCTAAAATAGAATTACAAGTTGATGACAAAAATCAAAGGCTGGCTTTAGGATATTTGGTAATATTTCAAGGAATATTATGTGAATGAATGTGAATTACTGATGTAAACAAACTGAGGGTCCCTGTTTTCATTCATTAGTTATGAAATTAGTAATGAATTAGTAATTAGTAAACAATATTGTGTGCAGAAGGTCTTTTTCAAGCTATGCCCTGATAATTCTCCAAATCAATGAATTACATTGCTTAAGCAGTTCTTTTAACACAGATAAGTAAAAACAAGATAAATAGATCCTGAAGTTAATGAACTGAAGCACTGGTGAAGCCCTGTGCATCCAGATGTCTATAAAGTCCTGGTAATGTTTTGGCAACCTGAGATTACTTATTGAAAGTTAAAGCTCAGCAATTATGGAAATATTGCAGTAATTTTTTTTTTATTTATTTTTTTTGGCATCACAATATTATGGCAGCCTCTACCCACATCTTCTCCTTTTGTTTTTCAATCTATATGATGAATATTAAGAGATCAGATCTACTTCCAGGCAACATGTCACGAATAAAAAAGTATGGCTGAAGTGAAAGGTTCTTTCCCCCAAAGTCTTTTGCTTACTAGAAATTTGTAAGTCTGATTTGTTTGTTTAGAAATCAGGGTTACCAAGTTCTCTGATTAAATATTGTTCCCTGACAATTAGTTTACCTTCATTAACATAAGAGTTATATTACTATTGATTTGCATATTTCATCAAATTAGAAAAGTAATTAAAGTGAGCCAATATCAGTTAAGAATTCTAATTCTCAGGATTTTGATTTTGATTACCGGTATTTAAATTTTTACACATGTTGTATAGTTACAATAAACTCAAACAGTACTGGTGCAAGTCAGTGTAAGAAGTTATCTGCTATTCAGTTAGACTTGATCCATCTAGATCAGGGGTGAAATGTAAAATTTGTTACCACCAGTTCTGTGGGCGTGGCTTGGTAGGGGGGGTTAATGTGACTGGGTGGGCGTGACCAATTTTTTTTTTAAACTTTTCAAAGCATTTTTTCTACAACCTCTTCGGCCGAAGAGGTTGCAAAAAAATGCTTTGAAAAGCCTCTTTCGATCAGGCAACACAGCTAGGATCGTCAGAGGCTTTTCAAAGCATTTTTTTTACCACCTCTTCGGCCAAAGAGTTTGCAGGAAAAAATGCTTTGAAAAGCCTCTGACGATCCCAGCTGAGCTGCGCGATCATCAAAGGCTTTTTTTTTTTACTTTTAAAAGCATTTTTTCGGTGGAAGAGGTTGTAGAAAAAATGCTTTTAAAAGTTAAACAAAAAAAAAAGCCTCTGATGATTGTGCAGCTCAGCTGGGCATGGTGCGGGGGGAGGCAGGGATTTTTGCTACCAGTTCTCCAAACCACCCACCGCCATCGCTACCGGATCAGGTGATCCGGTCCGAACTGGGAGCATTTTACCCCTGATCTAGGTCAATACTATTGTACCCTGACAATATCTGTGTATCATCTGAAAAAGGTCGTTTTCCTACTAGTTGCTAAAATATGCTATCAACTAGAGGTGAATTAAACTTACTACTTTCTTCAGGAAAACCAACAATTCCATGATTGAACAGACCATCATCTTGCAGTTCCAAAAGCCCTGGGTAAAACTGATTATCTAGACCCATTTCAGTTGGGTTTCAGGCCAAGTTATAACATGGAGATGACATAGATGACATTTATCAATAACCTCTAATGAGTTCAGGATGGGAGTGATGATCTTTCGGGGGCCTTTCAATTATGATCTTCTGGATCAGTTTGGGAAGTTAGGAATGGAAAATATAGTTTCACGAGGATTTCCTTCTTCCTCTGAGGTCAGTTCCAATCAGTGTAGAGGGCAAATAGGTCCAGTCCCAATATCACTAGGTACCTCAGAGCTCACCTGTCTCCCCACTCCTTGTTAAAATCTACATGGTGAAAGGAGTCACCATTCCTGCTGGAGGCACATATGATAGTCATGACCAGAAGGGACTTTAAATCCACCTTGAGCACCAATTTCACCTGTTGCTGGATCAGGGAACTTCACTCACATCACTCATGCCTTAGTCATTTCCTGATTGGTCTCTTGCAATTCATTTTACATTGGATTGTGTTCTATTATAGAACTGGGTAGGCGAGGAAGGAGGCAAGACAGGGTAACGATTGAACAGGCTTTATTGCTAACAGTAAACAGCTAATGGTGGACTCGCTCTGTGCTAACAATATAGGAGCGAGCTGACTTCTTTTCCTTTGACAGCTCTTATATAGGCGAGCTTTCAGATATCGGGCCAATCAGAAAGCGTCCCTTTCCCGCCTTCTGTGTGCCGGTGGTTCAGCCAATCAGGAGCACTTCTGCCTCCATGTGTTGCTGGGGGAAACGTAATACTCCTCCCCTCCTGGATAGTGCAGGCATAGTCAGCTAGATAGGCTGGGCATCTGCGGTTCCTCCCCGATCTGTGCAGTTCCATAGGAGTTGTCGGACTGGGCACATCTATCGCCAGGGCCTCCAGAACTTCTGGAGACACTGATACCGGCTCCGGCAGATGAACAGATGCTGAGGACGTAGCAGCAGTCATTAAGTCCTCCGATGGGTCGACGAGGGTCAGTGACTGTGGGCACCCGTCGTCGTTGGTCTCGTCAAATGACTGCTCTGTACTTGTATTTGGGGCGTCACTACAGGTCTCACTCGATTCTGCCCTTAGTGCAGGGAACCGGTGGGTCCGCAGCTGGTCAACATGTCATTTCCACATGCGGCCGTCCCTTAGCTCCACTCTGTATGAGTAGGGGCCCGTCACATCCACCACCAACCCAGGCATTCCATTTTGGGTCTCCACAGAAGTTCTTAGCATACAATCCCAATCTCCTTTCTGGAATGCCCTGGCCCCACCAGAGGAATCTACTGGTTTTTCTTCGGAATAACTAGGGTGCATATGGTCTAGGTCTATTCTTAGCCGCCATCCCATCAGCAGTTTGGCAGGGCTATGTAGGGTGGATGGGCATAGCATGGTATGTTGGGCAAGGAGATAAGAGGTGATCTTATCTTATCGGTTGCTGACTGTGAACCTCACAATGTCGAGCGAGGTAATGGGCAGTTGTTGGTCATCGATCAAAAAGATGGCAGATGCAGGGGCAGGGTCTTGAACAGCCGCCGTGAGGGGGCAGCGGCTTAGAGCATTGGTGTGTCCCAACACCTTGCCTGGACGATAGGACAACTTGTAATTATAAGCTGCCAGAAACATGGTCCAATGTGTCATCCTGGGGGATAATATCTGGGGTGTCTGGTAGTCCCCGGAGAGAATACCCAATAGAGGCTTATGATCAGTCACTAATTGGACAAACCAGCCATAAACATAGTCATGAAATTTCTTTACACCTGCCACTACTGCTAAAGCCTCTTTGTCCATTTGGCTGTAATGCCTCTCCACCGGGGACAGGGTCCTGGAGAAAAATGCAATGGGTGCTTCAATCCCATTGGGCAGAGTGTGACTCAATACCGCCCAACCCCATAAGGAGATGCGTCACTAGCAAGGGTGAGAGGAAGGGAGGCATCATACTGTACCAGGACGGCGTTGGATGTCAACAAGTCTTTGTCAGCAGCAAAAGCAACAGCCTCTCTACATCCCCAAGTCCATGGTATGTGGTCTCTCAGCAAACTATGTAACGGCTCAGCGATGGTGGCTTTGTTCGGCAGGAACATATTATAAAAGTTCAGCAAGCCCAGGAAAGCCTGCAATTCTAACTTGTTAGAAGGCGGTGGCGCGTCCCGTATAGCCCAGGTCGTGGATGGAGTAGGGTGTATTCCGCGCGCATCCAATAGGAACCCCAGGAATTTGACCTGAGGGACACCTATATAGCACTTTGTCCTCTTCAGCTTGAGGCCAGCCCGCTGAAATTGAGTGAGCATGGCTCATAGGCGGCATGCCAGTTCATTATCATTAGCGGCGGACAGGAGGACATCGTCAAAATATGGCATCACACTAGGGATGCCCTGCAACAGCCTTTCCATAAGGCTTTGAAAAATGCCAGGGGCCACACAGACCCCAAATTAACGTAACAGATTGAAGACCATTTCAAAGCTGCAACTGGTACAGAATACAGCCATGTGAATATGTAAAACCACTGCTTTGTGAATGGCACAGAGCAAGAGACTTCCTGTCTCTGATCATTTCTACTCATCCCACTAGATCTGGCAGAATGGACATGCTCCAGGGCTCCTCTATTAAACGGCATCATTTAGCTGAACCCAGGATATGTGAAATGGATAAAATGAATTGATGTAAAAAAAAAAATGAGAAACTGAAGAAAACCAAACTGATGGATTATCTTTACCTGTTACTGCTCTTACCTCTAAGTTCTATTATGTGAAGTCTCTCTTCAAAGCACTCATTTGCAATAAATGTTACAACTATTTAGCTTCATTCCAAGTGTGGAGCAGTGGAGCATGCTAAAATGTAAGTATCAAAACTCAAGAAAATTCAAATTCTGAATGAAATAGCAAACACGCATGTAAACCCAAAGAGAAAAAGAAAAAAGCAGCCAGTGGTTTTGGGTACTCAATTTAAAGCATCTTCAGAATTAAAAAAAGAAAAAGTAATACAGATATACAATTATTCCTATCTGCTCAGCTGAGGAAGTAGTCAGTAAATGCCAAATTCACTCTGTGCTATAGATTGGAGATGAAGGAGGTTTGCCCTCTTAACTCACCAATGGACCTTTAAAATGAATTTTGCAAAGTTCTCAATAGTTGTACTACTAATGCTAATTATTTTATACTATAAATGCAAAATGAAAGAGATCAAATAATTAAACAGGAGCTATTTATATAGCATCTTCTATAACTAATTGTATCAAAATACCTGAAGTATTAATTTGAAGAACAGAATTAAGCCATGGAGACTTAATTAAAGACAGACTGCATTTATTTTTTATATCCATGAATATAATATAAGCGCACTGAAGACATAAAGTCTGAGGAGATAATACTGAAACTTGAGGGAAGTAAAGCAAAAAAATTTCAATAGAAAGAGAGGGAATGAAACTATAAGGATTATGAATTATACTTACCCAGACAGCTCTTGTACTGGTTTCCAAAAAATATTGAAAATTTGATTTTTCTTTCCTATTTTAAAATTTTACATTAAAGTCAGGAAAATTATTAGGATTTCTGTTCCAGATTTTGATAACAAATCAGATAATTCTCTATTAGAAGAAAAGCACTTTATTTTCTTGCCTGTTAGTTTGTACAATATCTGGAAATCTGCTATTTGCTGTCCAAATACATTGGTCTACCAATTCCATTTGTGTGTGTGTGTGTTTGTATACACATACACACACACACATACACATCCAGTAGATAGAAGCCTCTGAGTTGTGGAAAGCTGGAATACTCTGCTGCATGAAATGAAGTGAACGTTTGGAAAGGAGGTTTACTCTTTTTTATGCCTAATTCACATCTCCAGTGCTCAAAATGCCATCATTTAACAACACTAATAGAAAAAGACCACAGATAATCTTCTATGTACAACCACAATTGAGCCCCAAATTTATGTTACTAAGCAAGACAGTTACATGAGTTTTGTCCCTTTCTATGACCTTTCTTGCCACAGTTGTTAAGTGAAACACTGCAGCTGTTAAGTTGGTAACACTGTGTTAGGAATAAGACTATTACCTAACTTGTTGGGTTGGCAATATATAAACAATAAATGTATGTTTGCATTGTATTGTATTGTATTGTATAGCTTTAAGACTGCTGTATGTGTCCTGATTGGTTAGCTTTGTTGCCAATCTCCTTAAGAGGGGGCTAGAAACATGGCTTGTTCTCTTTGTTGTTCTTGCTCTCTGATATCTCTATCTGATTTACTGTATTATTGTTTGCAACTCCAGAAGAACTATTTACTGTGTATGATTACTACGACTGGTATGAAGACTTTGTTTATTGGACTGTGCTTTATTTTTCCTGAATGTAAACTGTAAACACGACTCAGTGTATCTGTGTGGTGACTGTGCTTATTCATAACCACTCTCAACCGCTTTCATGTGCACAAACTTGCTACTCAAGGGTTATTCCTTAACACATAGTTGTTAAGCTTCCCCATTGTTATTGCTTGTCAGAAGGTCACAAAAGTGATCACATGACCCTGGGACACTGCAACTGTCATAAATATGAGTCAATTGCCAAGTGTCTGAATTTTGATCACATGACCATGGGGATACTGCTATGATCATAAGTGTGAAAAATGATCATAAGTCACTTTTTTCAGTGCCGCTGTAACTTTGAGTGGTCACTAAATGAACTGTTGTGAGGGCTACCTGTATTCCAAATGGCAAATTGTGCAATTTCCCTCAGATATAATAATCATTTGTAAACAGCATTTGTGATATTTGAAAATACATTCTAAATCCAATAATATTTAACAGTAAAATACATAACCCTGTTAATGCAATTGGATTGCACAGCTTCTTCCTATTATTAATTGTAAACAAATTTTGTTTGTTCTTCACTAACTATAAGCTGTATTTTTCAACAATATAAATTATACTGAATAGTCAACTTATCCTTCACTATAGTCTTATTGCTGTAATCAGTTTCCTGCCATATTTCAGCTCAAGCAATCTATGAAAGGAATATCTAATTCTTTTTTCTAGAAGAAAAATGCATGTATCTAGTTGTGTGATTGACATTATTAACCTTTTAAAACCTGAAAGTAATCTCAGCAGCTATTTTAATACATTGTAATATGAATGGTTGCATTTCCTTTAGGCCTGTCAAATATAAAAATTTAAGTGCTTTGTACATGCAACATATCCTGATAAAAAATATATAACTTAAAATAAATCCTACCTGCTACTCAGATATATTTCCCCCCTCAAAATCCATCTATTGGTCAGTCACATGGGATACTTTCCATATTTATTGTAGATTTCACATTTTGAATACAAATTAGATTTATTGGAAAAGTCACACAAAACTTGTTATCTGATGCAATATGAAATATGTTTAATAATAACCTTTTTTAACTGCAGAATGAAATAGAATACACATCAAATTAATGTCAGATTACAATTTACAACAAAAATAAACATTAATTATTCAAAAAGCCTTATGTTTACACAAAATATTAATGTTTTTGGGATAAACTAAAGAAACATTTTGACAGAAAATGAAAATCAACTACTTGAAACGTATAATTTCATTCTTTCTGACAACTGAAGAACATTTTATTAAAGACTGCCTATGCAAATAATCATTTACAGATTTAAAGTGGACATTTCCAGTCTTTCCCCATCACCTTCATAATATATCATATGATATATTTTAGACATTACATTATGAATATACAAAATTTCAAGGCTTAAATGTTTATCAGTGACAACAATATTCTTCCCACCACTCTGAAGATCTGTATGTGTCATAGAGTATAAATATGTGAATACTTCTTAATAGAGATTAATTAGGAAAGGACAAATTGGAAACAAGATCTAGCTTCAAGTTCCATTCCTACTCTGAAATATCTGAAGATATTTCTGTCTTTTGTTTTAGAGTTCATAGATAAAGTGGCATTGCAGCATGCACAGTATGTTACTCGAGCAAAGCTTCTTCTCACCTTATCAGATTTCATGTTGGATGCAAAAGATTTTTCCTCTTGGATCAAGACAACTAAACATATTGGCTTTTAGAATATGCACTCTCAGCTCTTCTTTGAATGTTGTGGCTGCGGTAGGTGGTTGGTTGTGAGGGTACCGAGTACCGGTAGCTTCGGGTTTTTTCATCGCAACGGCAGAAACAACATAAAATTGCCCCTCCAGCCACAAGACAGAAAGCTGAAGTCCAGCCTATATAAAGCGCTTCTCCAAGCTCTCGCTTCTGAGCCACTGTGACGACGGGATTGTAGAAATCTCGGATAATGTTATGGGCAACAAAGCACACTGGGATGAGCACCACAATGCCAGTCAGGATGAAGGAGATGCCACCTGCCAGCAGAATGTAGCCTTTGATGCGGTCATCATTTCCTGTGCACTGGGTACACTTCATGCCAAGAACAGCCACTGCAAAAGCGAGGAATGCCAGAGCTGAAGCTGCACACATCAAGCCTCTTGAAGCCTGCAGGTCTGGTGGGAGAGCCAGGAGGGAGTCATAGACCTTGCATTGCATCCTGATGGATTCTTGCCTTATGCAATTCATCCAGAGGCCTTCCCAAAATGTCTCAAAGACAACCACATTGTTTTCAATGAAAGCCGTCACTCGCCACTGGGGCATGCCAGTGATGGCAAAGGTCCCAACAGTGCCAATGCCTCCAAGGATCAGTCCTACAATCTGCAACGAAGTCGCTGCTGCCATTTCCTCATTCCAAGTCAGTAGAATGTTGTTCCAGAGAATTTTAGATGAATCTTCTTTTACTTTACCGATTCAGATCGGCTGTTGAAAAAATAATGTTTCAAAACACCTCAGGTACAGAAACTCTGTTAACTCAAACCCATTTCAGTCTGATCCGCAGTGATTAGTAGTTGGTTGTCTCTTTGCTGTTTTGAGCATATCACTGCCCCTATTGATTGGAAAAGATAAACTTATCGGTCAGGTTTTACAACTTTCAAAGCGAGTGAAAGGTTACACATAACAAGGCTTGCAAAGCATACAAAAATCCTCTCAGGGCACACCTAAACCTTTAAGGAAAGTAATTTTTCCCTTAAACTTTCTTCTCTTTTTATCACAAGATCATGTTATAAAACTATATTGTGCTAATATAACACAATGTTAAAAAAACATCCCTCCAGTTAGAAACCAAAAATATTATTGGAAAGGTCTAACATAGCATTGACATGTTTATCATCTTAGAGTTAGACTTCAGATAGAAATATAAGTTAACTTTGATTTTCCTGTATTGACCAGTGAAACAAAAGTTTTGAAAACTGCAACTACCGTAGTAGTTAAATATGAATCCAAGGCAAATTAACCTTGAATGGAGAACAATGTGTCAGTGACTAGATTTTTAAAATGTCATATGAAAGATTCAAGCAAAGATTTGCCAAACTTCATTATAGGTAGTCTTCGGGATATGATGGCAACTGAGCCTGGACTTCTGTTACTAAGCAATACAATTGTAAAACCCAAAGTCATGTGACCATATCACTTAGCAACAACAATCCTGGCAGACCTGGTAGCCATTATAACCACCAAGACCACAAGGGTCATTAAGAGAGGACCCCACATGACCATGATGTGAGAAGAGGGAGAAATGGCAGACAAGCAGTCAGCAGGCTAGAACTCCAGATAAGATTCACAGGCTTGTGCTGCAGGCAGGCAGGTGTCCTGTGCAAATGCTATAAAGCTTAGATGGATTGGTGCCACAGGCAGGTGCTATGCAGTAAAGGCAGGTACATGGGTGCGACTGTGTGTCACAGGGTGGTGCTATACAGTACAGGTGGATTGAAAGTAGCATGGAAACTGCACAGGTGATGTGGCAGGCACGATGGAGTGTGGGAAGGCATGCAGGTGCCACAGGCAGGTGCTATGGAGTGTGAGCATGTACGTGGCTACTACTGACAGGTACAATGGGACATGTGTGAGTATGTGGGTGCTGACCAAGGGCAGGTGGAGGAGTGCCACAATCAAGCACTATGGCATGTTGACAGGTACACAGATGCCACAGGAAGATGATATGGAGCATGGGAAGTTCTATGGATGCTACAGGCAAGCGAGAAAAAAAGTGGTTTGTGACCTCATGCCAGATTTCCCACTAACTTTTCTTATGGGAAGCCAGCAGAGAAGTCACAAATGGCAATTGCCTAAGTGAAGGACATTGTGACCACCATAACTGAGTTGGCAGGGACAATGTGACAGTCCCAACTTCACAGACCGGTCATAACTCTTCTTCATTCAATATATCATAATTTTGAACAGTTGTAGAACAAATGATCATAGTCCAAGGATTTCATGTATAAATGAGTAGACTCACTGTACTACATGAGTTTATTAATTTAAAAATCTGATCATTCATCATGATTGAAATTCTATAATAGCTATGATAGAGTTAAATGAGTAACTCTAACTATAGTTGGTTCCACTCCTAAATCTGCTGTTTTCTGTCTCTGTTTTCATCCCTAATATATTGATTTATTATCAAGTCAATGCATGTAAATCTGAAAATATTTTATCTGGAATTTCTCTATTATCACTCCATCTTGACTGAAATCAAATTTCTATTCCCCAAACAGCTCTATTCTTTTCTAAATCTGTCCTAAGTAAGATAAAGCACTAAAATGTAGCCCTGTTTGAAATGTTCAAGTCTGTGACACAGATAAATTCTTATTATTCTACACATAAATTACTTAGGAGTTAATTAAATTAAATATTGCTCATGGTACACGTGTGTGTATTTAAAATTCTGCAGTATAGAGAAACATGTTGATAGGCTATCATATGCTTAAATGATATTGAAAATATATTTCTTTCACCAAAAATTTGAATACCTTCTGCTTCAAGAATGAACCACAAGTTGTTTTCATTAGTCCTATTCATTCCATGTCCTATAAGAAAGAAAGTCACTCAATCTGTGATTAGAAATCACATTTCAATTTTATTAAATAAATAATTGAATGCTTGGCATGGAAAGGTGGTAATTCTGCAGATCTAAACTAAGTCTCTCTCTACTGTTGCCCTCTCCATAAAATCCTTCTCTCTTTCAGGTAAGAAACTAGCACAGGTAGTCCTCGACTTATAACAAACAGTTCATTTAGTGATCATTTAAAGTTATAACAGCACTGAAAAAAGTGACTTATGACTGTTTTCATACTTACAACTGTTGCAGCATCAACCTGGTCACGTGATCAAAATTCAGACACTTGGCAAATGACTTATGCTTATGATGGTTGCATGTTCTGGGATCATGTGATCACTTTGTAACCTTCTGACAAGAAAGACAGATTCACTTAACAACCATGTTACTATTTTAACCACTCACTGTAATTGTAGTGCTGTGATTCACAACAATTGTGGCAAGAAAGATTGTAAAATGAGGCAAAACTCACTTAAGAAATGTTTCATTTAGCAACGGAGATTTTGGGCTCAGTTGTGGTCATAAATTGAGGCCTACCTGTATTAGGAAGTGCTGCTCAGCGGCGGCTGGTTGGAACCCCTCTCCTGCACAACTCATTAAAGGGACTTTTACTGAGATGCAGTCAGGGAGAGAAGGCTGAACTGTGATCAGAGGAATTGTAACTAATCCTGAAAGTGCTTGTCAGGGGTGGGTTCTACTTACCTTTACTACCGGTTCGCAACAGGGCCACGTGCACGCTCTTCTACACATGTGCAGAAGCTTCTGTGCATGCGCAGAAGTATTTTGATGACATCGGGGTCGGTGGGCAGAGCCTCCCGCCGGTTTTACTACCGGTTCTATAGAACCGGTGCGAACCGGGGGCAACCCACCACTGGTGCTTGTCCATTACTGTACATGTGGATTCCAGAAGTGCTTAGGGATACTCAGCAGCCCACCCATCCACTCAGGAGGACAAAAAGACAAAGATTCTGCTCAACATTTTAATAATCCTCCTCCTCCTTCTCTTGAACTTCAATGTAGAATTAAGATATGAGGCAATGGCTTCTTAGTACAAATCATTCCATGGAGAGATGAAGAGGAACATTAAGCCTGAATCAATGTTATGTCATGATATTGGCTGCTTGAAGCAGAAAACAATGTGGTTGAGTATCTTTCTGTTTATTTTCTTGTTGAGGACCACGAGTTTCCAGAGATAGTCTATCAGGTAGCTGCATACTGACAGTGAGCAGAATTCAAATCTACAAGTAGGACCACAATCTACAATAAGTGGGTTCCATATTTTCTTTCTGTCTCCCCTTCCGATATGCTAAACTGCTGGAAAGCATCAGGTGTTCAGATATTTTAATTGATATTTACAAAAGTCTTTTGAAAGTAGGCTAGGGCCTTTGTGTTTGAGTCTAGTTTTAAAATGTATCCTACAGAATTTCCACATCAACTGAGGTTTTCGTCCCTCCCTCATTCCACCAATGATGATGCTGGAAGCCCAGTATTTCATCATGCTACAGGCTTGGGCTGTGCCTAGTCTGGCCTAAGTTCAAATAACTCTATACTTGCTTGTTTAAGAGCTTTTTTTTTAACTTCTCAAGAAATCATGATTGATAGAAGTCCCCCCACAAAAGAAAATAAATACTTGGTGAATCACACAGCTAGTTTAGATAATACAATAAAAAGGGATAACATCTACATGCCAAAGGCAAGTCATAAAGTGCTATTTCACAGAAGTGTTGAGATTTTTTAAGTTCTCATGGATGTCAGCTGAACCCCGAGCCTGACACATTTTCAGACAGCAAAACATTAAAGATATTGGAGCTATTATGAGGCAAGAAATGTGTGTATTATAACATCATATATTACCAAACTCTAGAAGAAGTATCATATTCATGGAAGGAAAATGTTGTTGTTGTTGTTAGTCACGAAGCCATGTCTGACCCATTGTGACCCCAAGGACAACATGCCTCCAGGCATTCCTGTCCTCTACTATCCCCCGAGTCCATTTGAGCTCACTCCGACTGCTTCACTGATTCCATCCAGCCACCTCCAATTTTCTTGAAGAGATCTCTGGTCCTCCCAATTCTGTTGTTTTCTTCTATTTCTTTACACTGTTCATTTAAGAAGGCATTCATATCTCTTCTAGCTATTCTCTGGATTTCTGCATTCAATTCGGTATATCTTTCTCCCTTGCCTTTTGCTTCCCTTCTTTCCTCAGCTATTTGTAAAGCTTCCTCAGACAGCCATTTTGCTTTCTTGCATTTATTTTTCTTTGGAATGGTTTTAGTTGCTACCTCTTGTACAATGTTGCAAACCTCCATCCATAGTTCTTCAGGCACTCTGTCTATCAGATCTAATTCCTCAAATAAAAAAGGAAAGGAAAATGTACAGCTTATGAAATGTTGCTACTGTGGCAGAGCTGCTGGGTCAATGAAGAGGCAGGCCATCTGCTGTAGTGCCTGCTGTCAGGGAGAAAAAAGACCAAGAGACTTAGCAGGAATCACTACGGTGATACAAGTGCAGTCACCCTTTAGCTTGACCAGCCCAGATCTAGACCTGTGCCTTCCATCATAAAGCCATAATAAGGCAGGCCATATACCCAGGTGCAATAATATTCGATTATTCCAGTGGAACAGGCTGCAATTTTGAGGTTCCTGGCAGAGGTGGGATTCACTTCTTCCCTACCAGTTCGCAAATGTGAGTGTGCACAAGCTCGCTTTGCTTAGACGCACCACCTCTGCGCATGTGCACGGCCCTCTACACATGCACAGTAGTCGCGCATTACATCTGGGCGGGTGGGCAGAGCCTCCCACAGTCGCCGCTACTGGTTTGCGCAATCCAGACAGAACCGGCTGAATCCCACCATTGGTTCCTGCTCTAAACAATACCTAAATCTTGCTCAACTCCAGTTGCTTTCAGTGTCACATCTACAAATTTGATGCTTCTGGGTGAATTCAGAAATTAAACTCTTCAAGCCAATAATATCAAG